CGTCTCGGAGTTCTGTTTTATCTCAATTTCTCGGTCCCCTGTCGAGTTTCCCTGTACATTTATGCTTTGTTTAGTTCACCGTCCCTGTGGCTCCGGCCCTACGGCCAGCCCGGAAACTGCGCCACATGTGTCGTGTTCTGTGCGGGGCCACGCCTCCCGGTATCCGGGCGGTCGTCTCGCGAGCGGCGCCAAGGAGAGAACGCGTATGTCCTCTTCCTGGCCCGATATTTTAAACTTCAAAATATAGCATCAGCCGACGGATGCGTGTTGACGAACAATCAAACGATACCAAACAATAACGTCATGCGAGAGTGATAAGCAGATAAATGCTAGCCGAACCCGCAATATTGACCCTAAATTAATCGCTTATCCTCAGAGCAAAGGCATTATCCTGTAACTGATCATTTTAGGATTTATTTACCAGCCTTCTAACACTCGCGGCAATTAAAGCTTGTCGGATGGCGCAAAATTCGCTAGAATTGAAAGATGTATGAGCTTATCTAGAAACGAAAACACAATCGCATCGATCGATCGCTACCAACCGTCAAGCAGGAAGGGGGCTTTGCCACGTTCGGCTCTTTGCCCGCTGCGTTCCTGATAGATCGCTGATGTCTCTGTGCTCCAAAGATGGTGTCCATCTATCATCGAACACCTGACCGAGAGCGGCAGCGGCAGCCTCCGACGGATCGAGCCAGACCTCCAGAGCGTGCCCCCGCGGCCCGCCCCTTCCCCGTCGCTGGCACATTAGCCTATCGGGCCTCTCCGGAACTGCCGACAAAGCGGTGACGGCGCGCCATTTCCGGTGCGTCTTCGATGTCGCCGACGCGCCGTAATGACCCCTGTGACGCGTGGGTGACTCCGGACGAGCCAGGATGACGCCCGTCAGAGCGGACGGCACTCGATCCCAGTCGGTACCTGAAGAACTGGCGGTGGGCGGGTGGTCGTGCTCAAAGCGCGAGAAAGCTGGGTGTGATTGGAACTGCTCAGGTGGGTTTTAAGCAAGGTGTTATCTCGCACGTCCAATCAAGTTTTTGTCACTGTTTTGTCTATGAACTTGTGAAACCAGCAGACACATTTGATTTACCAGCATGCAGTCTTGCAGTGAATGTCCTATACTTCAGCTGACAAATTGTGGGACATATATTTTCGTCTGATTTTGCTCTTTTTTCAGCCACAATGGAACTTGACGAAGCCTTTCACCACGTTGGTGGTTTTGGTAATTATCAGCGTTTAATGGGATGGCTGCTGCTACTGCCTGGCGCGTTACCTGTCAGCGTGTTTATGCTCTTAATACTGTGCCAAGCGTCCGACAGAGGGGAGCACTGGTGCAAGGTACACGAAACTCTCCGAGATCAATCAAACTTGGCCAAGCATGTCAGGTAAGAGCTGCATTTTTGCTGCTGATGTCACTACATTGCTCACTTAAAAACGACCCACATGTCCCTTGGTCAGCGAGAAAATATAATTTCCTGGTTTCTTGCGTTTTGAGCGCAGGTTGTTTCCCATGACATGGCATTGCCTATACAGTGTGTATGCCATGAGGCCGTCGGAAAATTCAAAACAAGGTAAAAACACTTTCAGTGCTTGCTGTTATACGAACTTGCGTACTCGTTGAAAATGACTTCCACCCAGCACGGGCATAGTTTGTTTGTTAAACATTACGCCTTCAATAGGTTAATTGGTCATGAAACTGTTGCGCAATTAAACATATACCGGCACCTGCAATTCCTTATGTGGTAGCATACCCACCGAAAGGAAGGACAGCGATACACTGAAGTTCAGCTCGTGCCTCATGTACGACCTCACTACACTCAACATGCTCCTCCACTACAAGACGAACCTCGTCCGCTGCCTCCTTGTCTAATCACACGGCGGTCTCGACCATGAGGCATGTGACCCCATGTCGTCACGGGCTGGGAACATGAGGCGGACAGGATGATGTCACTGATTGCCCCAGGTCAGTGGTCGGCTTAACCATTAAAAGCATTGCGCAGTAATGCGCTATTAATGCCACTGCTAACAGGAATGACATTCTCGCTTAAGTCCGTTGGAGGGAGGGCAGGAGAACATTGTTAACGACTTTTTTGCTGCAGTTTAATGTTTAAACCTTAGTAAATACATAGGAAGACTACTCTAACAATAAGTTTAATCTCCCCACTTTTTGTAGCCGCTACTGCACCCCGCAGCGTATAAATGCAGCGGAACCTGCCTACCGTGGCATTGCCATGGGCGGTGCCATCGTGTTGGTAGAATGGGACAGCTGTCTACCATGTCGTGAGTTGGGCTGGTGACCACATATTTTTGCACCCCCCCCCCCCCCGCCCTCAATTTTGAAGGAGGCCTCTCGAACGCTTCTATCGATCTAATGCAATGGTTATCGATCTAATGCAATGGTCTAGCACAATGACATGATCGTAAGGCACGGACACGTTCGACAACGTGATACTTCGGCCAAGGAGAGGCCCCAGGTATGAAATGGTCGGGCATGCTCGGGCGCCAATGTGCTGCAGGACATAATCGGGTAGGTCTAAGTTATCTAAGGTG